ATCACAGGATGGTGGGGGTGCTGTGATGGTTGTAAGTACGAAGACCAGTTTTAAGTCACTTTTTTCAGTGCCGTTGTGGACTTCAACTCCCAGAATTCCATGCTGGCTGGGGGAATTCTGGGAGTTGAAGTCCACGGGTCTTAAAAGTTGCCACGGTTCAGAAATCCTATTCTAAGGGAAGGCAAGTGGATGCAAATGACCTCCACTAGTGGTTTATTCCTGATAATCTCCCTTTACGTTCCCTGAAAATGCTCCAATTTAAGGCGCTCGTATTGTCTGAGAGGGTTGATTTTTCTTAATTGCGTGATCAACCGTCCGTGAAGCTTCCTCAAGCCGACAGACAAACACAACCAGTTGGTTTGGGTGGGCCTGTTTTGTGCACCCGGGATGTCTAGAGTGTTCTCTCGCAGAGAAGAGATAAATTCATCTTATCCTTTTTCCTAAGCATCTAACATGTGGCTGGGCTTTGCCTTCTCCCATTCATTATTTATGAATGAATCATTATTTTCTGTAGCAGAGCCCAGAAATGTGTCTAACAGGACTTGTAAAAAAAAAAAAGAAGAACGGGGGGGGGGGAGAAGCAGGATAAAATTGCCCTAGGTCAGCGTATCTACTGTTCACCCCTTGGTTCTGGAGGAGTCGCACAACAGCCAGGCAGTTGTGATGCATCCCTCTGGCTAAGATACAGACAAATTGAGCTTGTATATAGATATAATTGTCACTATTAAAAGTAGAAACTCTTTATTTCTTCACCTCCTGCAATCTGTCTTTGTACGGGATTAATTGGAATCAATCTTGTCTCTCAAGTGACAGCTTCTTTCCTCCTCTCCCTCACCATCATACTTCATCACGTGACTGACTGAATTTTGGGGCCATCCCTTAATCAGTTGTAACATCTCTTCCAACTTCTAATGAGGATTGTTTCTGAAACAAAATCACGAGTACGTAGCTGCCGAGTGTAATCTCACACGGGGTGTGAAGCTGGGGGAGGTTGCTCTCTGAGCTTGGTTGTTTTCTTGCAGACATTTCATGACCCAGCTAGGTAACGTCATCAGTCCTGGAAGGCAGTGGGGTCTGCAGAGAAGAGGAGGAGGGAGAGGGGGAGAAGGAGGGTGGCTATGGGGTCTTTGGTGTTCTCTGAACATGATTGCTTTCTTGCAGACATTTCATGACCCAAACTAGGTAACATCATCAGTGCAAGTAAGGAATAAGATTTGTTTGAGAGGAGGAGAGTGGCGGCTGTGGGGTCTCTGAGCATGACTGTTTTCTTGCAGACGTTTCATGACCTTCATCCATGTTAGAAGGGAGTGGGCTTTGCTCTTTATTTATATACCATTCACTTCCCCTGTCAGAGTCGGTGGGGATGTTCTTGGTGATCCTTGATTAGGCTGTGACTTAGTGAGTTGTTAATTCCTTGATGGTTTACTGCTTGGTGTTAACCCTCCTCCCAACCACTGCTTTAGTTTGAAATGTAGAGAGCTGCCCAGAAGAGACTATTTTAGACTCTTATTACTATGTACACAGTATTTTAGGTCAACTCCAATGATTTCCTTAAACCTACAAAAAGCTATTTATTCTCTACTGGGTTTATTTTTTTATATAAACGTCATTTCTTTATTGCTACATGGCGTTATCTACATATAACACAATGGTCCCATTAGTTTTCATGGATGCTCCATGCGAGGGACCCTGGTTTTTAACTACGTTCATTGAACATACGACCAGCGGGTGCATTTGCACCTTATTCTGAAAAAAAGCACGGCTGAACGTTTTGTGTGAATTGGGACTCCTGAGTAAATCTTACAATAGGCTTGCAAATACGCTTAATGGTAAGTGAAGAGTAAATCTTACAATAGGCTTGCAGATAGGCTTAACAGTAGCAGTCTCGCCTAGGAGGTAGAGATTGAACCTTGGGATGTAGCCCTCTAAATGACTCCAAAGTGAAATCTGAGCCAAGTTTTACAGCTTTCACTTTGTATACCAATTTTGGAAGATGTATTCCAGACCAAAAGTGAAATGGTAGTTAAGGGCTGCTTGTGAACATGTCACTTAGAGTGTTTTTAAAATTTCAGAATCATTTTTAAATTACACCACTTGAAATTATCCATACTCCAAAGGCGTGTTGAGAGCTTTGCTTAGGAATGATTTATGTATTTTCCTGCCTTAAACTAATGATGGGCTAATGTGAACATACAGATCTAATCTTTTCCCTCTGTAATCTAAATGTTGGTTGTCCCCATAATGAGGAGGAAGAAGCTTTGTCAGGAGCATTATTATGGATGTAGAAAAATGCTTTCTGTGCCTGTGATTCATTGGCTCAGTCAAAGCAGGGAAACAGCAGAATTTACTGACCCTCGTATTTATACATGAATCATTTTTGATCTTGCGTTATGCATTTGTGGCATATTAAACGCCACATTCCTTGATTTTTAATCTAAAGCCCCAGAAGCAAAATCTCTTTAGAAGGTCCACTTTGGAATAACCTTAAAAGGTTGACCTCCAGAAATTTCAGCCCTAATGTAGAAGCTCAAACGGTATAAATAAAACCAAATTTGTCTTCTCCTGTGATCTCTGTCCCTTTTCATATTTATAGCCTCAGTTGCATATCCTGCCAAACCATGCTTGTTTAACGTGATTTATGCAGCAAACCAAACTCGGCTGTGTTTTCTGTACACTGTACACGAAGCCAAATCAGACAAACTATATGATATTTACAATGCTGGGTACAAACTTTCATGTTCTCATTTTGGTGGCCTGTCCTTTCAAAACCTCTGCACGCATGTCTGTCTGTTTTACTGAACAAGTCATCTTAAACGTCTTTTTTCCTTCTGTAGGAAATATGCTATATTAGCTTGTCCTTCTGTTCCTGGTGAGCCTTTGGCTAATTTTAATTAGATGGGCTTGAATTCAACTACAGCTGACCCTTGAATTGAAGGAAGAGAATTAGATGCAGGCAATTAAATCTCTCTAACCTTCTTTTTTTTATAATCCTCTCTAAAATTAAGCGATTTCTATTAGGTTCCATCTGTTAGTCATACACGTTTCCATTTTATGTTTCTAATGTCTAGGTCCATAACCATGGTCAAAAATTGATTACCCTGATTCATCTTGTAAAAGAAAGGCCCGCGGGTAAAATGGATAAAGGTTCGGAGCATCCACATCCAATGTTAATTGGCTCCTATCAGCTCAGGAGAGAAAGAAATAGCGATAGCACTGAGACTTATAAACCGCTTCATAGTGATTTACAGTGGTTTACAGAGTCAACTTGTGCAAAACAGCTTCTCTCTAGTGCCATGAAACTTTTTTTAATATAGTTCCCTCCTGCTGGAATGGGGCAACTCACCACAACCAACTCTTCCTGGCCAATTCTCCATGGCCAATTTGCCACGACCAACTCTCAGTGGCCCACTCTCCATGGCCAAGTCACCGTGGCCAACTCTCCAAAGCCAATTCTCCATGGCCAACTCTCCAAGGCCAATTCTCCATGGCCAACTCTTCATGGCCAAGTCGCCATGGGACAACTTGCTGCGGGACAATTCAAGTTAATTATTTAAAATTTTTTTAATTTTTGTCATTCCCATTTCATTTTGTCTCTCCTTTGGCATCCTTCCTTGAATGATTCTAATCCGCTGTTTCCTCAATATGAGTGTAACTTTTGTTCCAGGGCGAGTCGTCTGGCAGTGAGTTGGCGGTGGCAAGTTGTCTGTGGGCAGTTAGCCGTGGGGAGCTGGCTGTGGCGGGTTGACTGTGGCGAGTTGCCGTAGACCCCCCTCTCCTGCTGCGCTTCCAGCCACCATCAGTGCACTCCCCCACAGAATATTCGTCAATGGCACAGAATCCTTTGCAGCCTTCAGTTCAACAGAGGGCGGTGCTGCACAGGGTATTAAAATATGCTCCGGGGCTCCAAGTGTGAGTCACCCCATTTGCAGTGGTGAAAGGCAAGGGTAATTTGGGTCTGACTGAGTTTCAGAAGCCTAGGGGAACCGCTGTGGTCTTTTGCTCCTCGGTTCAAATCTTTAGCCAGGTTAACGTTCATTTACCTTTCCAGCGATGCTATAGGTTCCTGATGTGCAGGGGCAAAAAAAAATCTATTACCTTTTAATTCTCTGTCTGGTTCTTTGCCTGCGGGGGATTCTCACAAGTGGTTGTTTACAACCTGCATATTTCAAATCTAATATCAAATCATCAGCCGAGGCTGACGTCTCTCCACTTATTTCTTCGTGGGAACATCAGATATCAATAGCTGACATGACTGATATTAAGTGGGAGGCTTTGTCTAGCCCACCGAGAGGAGATTGTGCCTCCGCTTAACAAAAGGGGCATCCTTGAAGCATGTTTATAGCAGCTATGGCTGGCATTTGATAAGGCAGTTCCGTCTCTTCCTATCTGATGGGAGGCAATTACAGTAGTTTTAAAACAATTAGAATTTCTTCCCCCTCCCCAGAGTTCTCAAGCAGAGTGAGCGGTGCTCCTTAATGAGCAGTGAATTTGCCATGGTTTGGCTTCCGTTCTGGCTTTTTCTTTGGAAAAAGAAAAATAAGCCGAGATTTGAAGCTGTGTGCCTCTGTTTAGGAAACCCCTCTCTTCCCTCCCTGCTTCCCTCCCTCCCTCCTTTATCTTCCTACCTCCCTCCCCCTCTTTCCACCTCCCTCCCTCCCTCCTGTACCTACCTTCCTTCCCTCCCTCCCTCCCTCCCTGCTTCCTTTCCTCTCTCCCTCCTTCCTTTATCTTCCTTCCTCCCTCCCCCTTTACCTTTCTCCCTCCCTCCATTACCTATCTCCCTCCCTGCCTCCCTTCCCTCCCTCCCTCCTTATCCATCCATCCATCCATCCATCCATCCATCCATCCATCCATCCATCCATCCATCCTCAACCCAAGTTGTTTAAGTATTCTATAGCTTTACCTATATCGCCCCCCCTAACCCTCTCACGGCCATCTGGGTCTTTCTGATAGAAGACAGAGGTGTTGTTTTTAACTCTTTACCTCTTCCAATTATTTAGGAGTCCCGATGATCTTTCCAGGCACATAATCGGCCTGCAGCAACGGGAGCTGATCCTGAAAGAACAGAACTCTGCCATCTCCAGCAGGTAAAGGACTTTGTATTACTAACTGGGTTAATTGCGCTTCCGATGTTTTCAGAATAAGCCGCACCTCCTTTCATCCAAGCTGTGGCTGCTGCCGATTAGCTTCCCTGTGTAGGTGAGATAGACAATATTCTTGATAGCAGATCCTCACTGAGCTCTAGAAATAGCCTACCTCTGCTTTTTTTAGTTGGAAAAAGGTGGTTGGACCCCATCAGTGGTGGGATTCCAACAGGTGAGCAACCAGTTCTCTGTGTGGATGCCGCTTCCGGATGTCCGTTCTGGGCCTGGGCAACCAAAAATTAGCTACCGGGTCTGCCGAAGTGGTTTGAACCAGTCGAATCCCACCACTGGACCCCATCAGTCTTTTCCTGGGTTCAAACATGAGGTGGATGGTAAAAAAAAAAACTGCTTTTTTTTCAGTTGCCCCATTCATCCTGGACATAGTGAGTTTAAATGTATGGAAAGGGTAAAGGAAGAACAATTAAGCAAAAGTTTTGATTTGAAAGGACCAATAAATTAATGAATTAAAAAAGAGAAAGGGAGGGAGGGAGGGAGGGAGAGAGAGAGAGAGAGAGAGAGAGAGAGAGAGAGAGAGAGAACAATTGGAAATTATAACTTTCAAGTCTTCCCAGACACTGTCCAATTCTGCTTCTAAATATTAAGATCTCAGTTCTGTAATGTTTTATTCCCTTTTAAGTGGCAACTGAATGCCTACATTTGAATGGTGGCTTTATTTCAAAATTCTCAGAAAGGCATCTGGAACATCTTAAAAGGAAATTTTATTATGTGATACATCAAAAATCTGATGGACATTTTTAAAAAAAAAATCATAAGAGGTTTACTGCCTTTAATGTTGAAACAACTTGGAAATGACGAGACCTATTTCAGCCGTGGTGGCCAAGTGGTTAGAAGGTAGCATTGCAGGCCGATTCTGCCCACCGCCAGCAGTTCGATCCTGATTGGATCGAACTGCTGGACTCAGCCTTCCACCCTTCCCAGGGTGGCAAAATGAGGACCCAGAGTGTTGGAGGCGAGAGGCTGAATCTGTAAACTGCTCAGAGATGGCTGTAAAAGCACTATGAAGCAGTATATAAGTCTTAAGTGCCATTGCTATTGCTATTTAGTGCCCAATATGTTGTGCTCATTATACCAAACGCAATCAGTCAATCGTCATTTCCATTAAGTTTCAGCAGTGGAAGAATTCGTTTTATTTAATTTTTGTAAGGTGTGATTCTAAAATACAATTTTTAACATCTTCACCTCCATGCACATTGATGGCCTTACTGTGTGGTTTTTTCCGCCCCCCGTCTATGGTTTGTGTTTCATCCGTTGTTTAGGCGCATCTTGAGAACATAATGTCCTAAAAGTACATTATATCTCAGAGAAAGAAACAGTAGAGTTGACCATGATATTCTGTAGATTTAGTGATATTTCCACTGCTTATGACTCCGGGGGGGAAGATGTAGTTTAGCACCCCCACTACTGAAGCTCCATCGGGACGGCAACCAGGCCCGCTTACACCAGCAAGCAAACAGCATCGTCTTAATTAATTCTTGGTTATTGCTGCTCTCGCTTTTGACTCTCCGGGTGGGAAGCGCGTACATTTCTTTTATTATATGGTGTCCACTGTGTGCAATCATAAATGGATATAGCTAGATGAACTTGCGAGGATCTGCTCTACTTCTTCCGAAGACGTGTTAGCAGCTTCATATCATGTTCTCTGCTGTTTTGGGGAGATGTCCTTCAGGAGAACTTCACCCGGTGGGCTTTTTCATGTAGGCTTCAGGATGCTACAAAAAAACCGGTTTGGGCTGTCAGTGGCCGGACTACATGGTCATCCCATAGGCGTGGCCTGATTTTTATGAAGTCCAGGATGGCCTCTGTTTTGGCTTTGTCTTCGGAAGATGAATGGATGTCAGTCATCCAAAGTCCTGGTTGTCCCAAAGGTCCTTTTCCAAAAGGCAACTGGATTTTCTTGGGTCCCCCCCCCCCGAAAACATTTCACTTCTCATTCAAGAAGCTTCCTCAGGAATGAGAAGCGAAAGTCACAGGGTTTCCTGCCTGAGCAGGGGGTTGGACTAGATGACCTCCAAGGTTCCTTCCAACTCTATTATTATTATTATTATTTATGGATCATCGCACAGTCAGCCAGATGTTCAGACTGGATTTGGCATTTTGTCTACCTATCGAGTCCTTACCCAGGACCTGGGATAGGCAGATGTGGATGTTTGATGGTATTACAGATATCGTCGCAGGATGGAAGCAGTTCCTAATAAGGCCGCCTTTTGCAATTGACTAATAGCGAATTTGTCGATGCCAATGGTGTTCAAGTGGTGCTCCAGTTGTTTTGGGATTGACCTAAGGAGCCTATGACTATTGGTACTACCCTTGCTTGCTTTTGCCACAGTCTTTCTATTATTTGTAGGTCTTTGTATTTTGTTATCTTCTCCAGTTCTTTCTCTTCTATTCTGCTATCTCCAGGCACTGCCACGTCCACTATCCAGACTTTTTTGTCTTTCTTATCGACAATTGTTAAGTCTGGGGTGTTATGTTGCAGGTGCTTGTCTGTTTGAATTCTGAAGTCCAGAGCAGTTTAATTTGATCATTTTCTATGACTTTCTCTATTTTATGATCCCACCAGTTTTTGCTTATAGGCAAATGATATTTTTTGCAGATCTTCCAATGCACCATTGTTGCTACTTTGTCATGCCGCTGCTTGTAATCAGTCTGTGCAATCTTCTTGCAACAGCTTACCAAGTGGTCCAATGTTTCTTCAGCTTCTTTGCATAGGCGGCACTTACTGTCTGTTGCTGTCTTCTCAATTTTGACTTTGTATGCATTTGTCCTTAAGGCTTGGTCTTGTGCAGACAGAATTAGTCCCTCGGTCTCTTTCTTCAATTTTCCTGCTCTTAGCCATTGCCAGGTTTTATTATTATCTGCTTTCCCAGCTATTTTGTTCATGTATTGGCCATGTAGTGCTTTGTCTTCCCATGCCTCTATTCTGTTCTTCATTTGGTCTTTCTTGTAGGCCAGTTTGGTCTCTCCAGTAGTTAGTAAGCCTTCCTGATAGACTAATTTCAGTGCATCTTCATCATTGTTCTTCAGATATTCTTCCAAAGCCATTTTTTCTTCTTCAACCATCTGATGTACTTGTAGCATTCCACGCCCACCTATTTGCCTTGGTAGATAAAGTCTATCAATGTCACTGTGTGGATGAAGGGCATGATTCATTGTCATTATTTTTCTGGTCTGACTATCCATTGCTTTTAGTTCTGCTTGAGTCCAGTCCACTATTCCAGCTGTGTACCTAATGACTGGGATTGCCCAGGTGTTGATTGCCTTTATGGTATTTCCTCCATTGAGTTTGGATTTTAAGATCTTCTTCACTCTCTTGATGTATTCACCTCTAATCTTTTTCTTGACTTCAGTGTGCTTGATGTTGTCAGATTGAAGGATACCCAAGTATTTGTAGTATTCTTCCTCATCCAGACTCTTAATGTTATTTTCGTGGGGCATCTTGATTCCTTCAGTTTTCACTATTTTTCCTTGTTTTATTATTATTATTATTATTATTATTATTATTATTATTATTATTATTATTATTATCACCACTATCACTATCACTACTACTACTATTACTATTATTACTATTATTATTACTATTATTACTATTACTATCATCATCGTCATCATCTGGCAGCCCCCTCACTTGGTCTCCCTCCCTCATCTCTCTCAGTCCTTCCTTCCTCCCTCCTCCCTCCCTCCCTCCTCCCTGACAACATGAGCAGTAGAGTGGCCTTCCTGCTTTTGTTTGAGTTTGTGTTACACACACAGCAAGATCGGCAGCAAAAATCTGTTGGGGACAGCTGAGTGTTGCTAATCCATCTGATGCTGGGACTTGGAGCAATTACAGGAGAAAAGGGTTTAATTAACCATATTCATTTCTTTCCTGGAACAGTTTCCATTTCAGAGTTTGGTATCTCCTTATCCTCATTTATCTAAGAGTTGTGTTACTATAACAATGTTTAACCACCACCCTGTCTGGCGTAGGACACGTCTAATGGGCTTGTTGTGCTGCCTCGTTGTGAGCTGCTTGTTTTCCAAAAGAACCAATTAATCTTTGCTCTGCAGGGCTCCGATAGGAAACATCCAAGGTTTTTACATCTCGCTCCAAGTCGGATTGGTGTGAATTCAGACACAGTTTAGAATCCTGGTTTGTGGTGTAGTATAGAGGGTGAACCTGGCCAGTGCTGAGTTTTGGAACATCATGGCTTCCTGGATCAAAGGACTGATGGGAATTGTACATTCCGATGTACAAAATGCTGTGATCGTAGCTTTAAGAATAAAGTAGAATTAGCTTGTCTGGTGGATCTTGTCTGCTCTACCTGGTAAGGCTGACAGGTGCCCATTTCACAACAGGTAGTGGAAGAGTCAGTGTCACTTGGGCTGTTACTTGATGGAAGGCTGTCATGATTAAAAAAAAAAAAAGATACTTATTTGGCATCTTCTTTTCCCCGTCTTTGGAAAATCACCGTAGCCCCAAACAAAGATTGATGATAGATGTCCCATCCCTAGTTTGTTCCAGTTTATCTATCTTTTGCTCTGAGAAAGTGGGTGAATACTTTCTTTCTTTCCTTCCTTCCTTCTTTCCTTCCTCCCTCCCTCCCTCCCTCCCTCTTTCATGCTTTCCTTCCTTCCTTCTTCCTCCCTCCCTCCCCCCTCTCCCCCTTTTTTCCTTTCTTTTTTTTCTGTCAGATGCTATCCTCTTGTCCTTTATTTGGCTCTGTTTAGACACAAGCATCTGAGCTCGCCTGTCTGGCTGGCGTTGCGTGGAAAGCCAGCCAGCAGCGTAATGATGGGGCTCTGAGCTATTTTGGCACAGCTGGACGGCAAAGCTTTTTGCTTCCCCGTCTGCCGCGAGTCCCTTCCGATTCCAGGCCGAGGGTCCACCCTCTTGACTTTCAAGGAGCAGGGCCCCAATTCTCTCCCTGCTTTCTTTACAT